TTTATTTTCTCTAACTATTTTTTACGTAACTCCAACTGGCATTATCTAGTTCTGATGGGGATTGGTCTCCAAGCAAATCTTTTTGTTTTAAGATTAAAAGCACATTTTAAATTATAATTAGTTTATTAATCTGCTGATAATTTGTAAATATCTATTCATATCATAAATTCCTTGATTATAATTAAATTTGTGGATCATAAGATTTTAATTGAATGCTAATTTGCAAATTCTGAAATGCTAAATCAACACTTCTGCTTTAAATTTATAGCCCATGTTAAATCTTTCAATGCTTCGAATTAAAGATATCGATATATTATGAAATTTAAAAACTTAAAAAAAAATTCTAATTATTATCTGATACATATTTGATTTCATTTTAGTTTTAAATAGCATTTGGAAATGCTATCTCTTAATTTCATCGTTTTATTTTTTTATTTCTATCAATTGACTTGATTAGGACAATTTTAAATTGAATAACTATCTTATTAAATTAGGAATAGAATTAATGTTTGGATATAAAATTAAAAATCTTATTCATATAATGACTTAGAAAACAGAAATTATTGACAAATAATGATTAAATTGGAGAGAAAATAGAGGCACTCAGTGTAAACATTTTATAAGATATAAATTAAAATTAGTTTAACATATTATAGGTAAATGATATATTGCTCAAAGCACTTTTAAACAAAGGTGATAACAATTTATGCTATTTTTCATTTGTATATTTTTGTAATGAGACCAATATTAAACCTTGATTCTTAATTTCTATTAAATATTTTCTTTTCAAAATTGATTCTTTATACAAACTGTAAGATAAAAAATAGCTAAAATTTCCAAAACCTTTGTTTAATCCACAGATTTTCAATTTAATTTGAACAAGGAATAATCCAACTTTGTGACCTTTATTATTATGTGCCGAATTAGTGAATAAATAACTATTTTCTAACTTCAATATTCTCAATAGAAAGCCTCTCTTAATAAGATGCATTACTTATTTTTAAAAGATTATTTAGCTCTATTGTAATTTTAGTCTTTAGGATTAATGGAAATGGGTTTTCTTAAATAAGTCTACACAATATTCTAAATTTAAATAACGAGAAAGAGAAACAACCAAAGTCTTACTAAGTCTAACTTCAAAAAATGCCGCAATAATAATTTATTAATAACAATCTTACTAATAAATATAATATAAGTCATTATATAAAATTTCAATTATAAATTATGAGAAAGATTTTAATTTATAAATTATTTATATTTACAAATGGAAATCTTTAAATGTAAATATCTTAAACATGAAAATGAAGAAATCATTGGATTTTGTTTAAATCAAAATTGTATAAAGCCAACTTAATATTGTTATGAATGTTTAAATAGTACTCATTCAGAACTTTTCAATGATTGTATAAGATTCTCAAAAATGACCTAATTGATAAATGAATTCCTACAAATTTATCATTAATCAAGAATTAATTCAAAGAAATCTCAAAATAATTTTAGAACAGTTGTGAATAGATTTATAAAAAGATGGATTAGGATATTAAAATATTAGAAAATATGAACTAATAACTTTTAAACAAAGATTATTTGGCTTTAAAATCATAAATTAAAATATTCAAACAGTTTTACTCTAAAGATAAAGAAAATTACATATGTATCTTATTTGATTAATTATAATAGAAAAATAAATATAATAATTAAATATTATTCTTGAGACAATAAAGAATATGGTGCCAAACTAACCTTAAGGGGACAATTAAAATATGTAGTAGAATATTTAAGAAGCTTAAAGATTATTGAAAAAAGTTATTAGTAATATTATCATCTATTAGGTAAAGAATTACATAATTTAAAGAAATACTAAGAAGCTATCGAATGTTATGATAAAGCTATTCTAATTAATCCTTAATTTGATACTACCTGATATAACAAGGGTACTTAATTTATAAGCACTATTATTTAGGTTATGCTTAAGCTTTCAGTTTACATTGCTTAAAGTGTTGTAGATAATAATTTAAAGAAATACTAAGAAGCTATAGAATGTTACGATAAAGCTCTTCTAATAAATCCCAAAAATGATTAAATATGGAATAACAAGGGTAATTTATTTATAAATTTATTATTTAGGCCATGCGTTAAGGAATTTAAACAAATACTAAGAAGCTATAGAATGTTATGATAAAGCTCTTCTAATTAATCCCTAAAATGATTAAGCATTGAATAACAAGGTTAAATAATTTATGAATTAATTTAGGCTCTGCATTACATTATTTAAAGAATAATACGAAGCTATTGAATGTTACAATAAAGCTATTATAATTAATCCCTAATATGATACTGCCTGGAGTAGTAAAGGTAAATTATTTTTATAATTTAGGCTGGGCACTACATTAATTAAAGAAATTTAAAGATGCAATTTAATGTTATGATTAAGCTCTTTCAATATGCATAAAACCAACAAGATTAAGACTAAAAGGTATATTAATTTTAATTAAAATTGAGCTGATATACTATTTGAATAAGGGAACAAAAATGAAGCAAAACAATTTTATCTTGCTGCATTAGAAAAAGGATCAAATGAGAAAGATTATATTTAGAGATAGTTATCCCAATTATGAAACATAATTATATCATAAATTTTTCACATCATCAATTCAAATAATTCATTTTATTCAACTTTGTCTTTTTTTTCTTTGCTAGTTTTCTTCGATTTTAATATTTCATTCGTAAAAATAATCTTGAATAATATAATATTCAAACCACAGTTTATATGAAGAAAAACTAAATCCTATTGGATATTAATCAGGTATTTCCTACTTATTAATTGGAATAAAATATTTATTCAAGTATTAAAAATAAACAATATTATTCAATAAAATATGAATCAATTTTAAATCTTTTTTTTTCTTCATGAATATTTTATAAATAGAATAGACAATAATTTATATTTTTTTTTTAGAATTTAAAATGTCAATTTATTAACCAATATATTTTAAATCCAAAACACCAATATTTTAGCAATTTTACATATCACATAAATATTTTATCTAAGAATTAAAACAATATTCATCTAAAATTTAAATCCAAGTTCCTATTTTAATCTAATCACTTTCTTTACCATATGATCCAAGAAAATTAATTAAGAACGATTTCACTAAATTAATAAATGTGAAGAAAATGCAAATTATCAGTTTTTGATGATATCCTATTTATTACAATTTCAAAGAAGTTTATCCAAAATGCAAACATCAAATTTATAATTAAGGAAATTGTTCATCACCCCATTCTATTGTTATTTCTTCTTCATTTCGGATAGTGACAATGTATAAATTTGATTATATTTTAATGAATTAAAAATACAAAGATATCAGCCCATATTTTTTTGAATTCCTATTTTTAGCATAAGTAAATAAATATTCTAAATAAGTGTTATTATGAAATTAATTATTTGATTATAAATAAGAGTTAATTTATTGTTTCATCTAACCTACATTAAAATTATTTAGCAATTAATTAATGCTATCCAATATAGATAATTACGGATCTTACAAAGAGAAATTTTCATTTAAATTCGTTTCAGTCTCAATTAGAGCCATGTTCTTTTAATTTAATATCTTAGTTTAGATTAATTTATGACCAGCAATTTAGATTTACTAATTAATTACTTAATTTTCTGAATGATTACTTTTTACATTCCGAATTTCCACTCTTGTTCGTTAAATAAATGGATCTCAACAATAACTTTAAAGTAGTAATTATGATGGATCAATAAGGCAATAATCAAATAATTGATTTTCTGCAGAACCATTTTTCTTAATATAGATTATTTTATGATTTTTGTTTAAATTACATGGTAGAATGTTTTAAGAATCTTGAATACCTTATTGTTATTTAATGATAATTGATATTAATTATATAAAAATTTCAATATATCAATGAAATTAAATAGAAAAACTTCATTTGATAACTAATAAAAGTCAATGATATAGTTAGATTGGTTTTATTTTATAAAATTTCTAAATAGTCTAAATATTCTTATATTTCTAAAATAATCACATAAGAATAAGACACTTATATATCTAGACTATATTTTGTTAAATTTTATAATATCTAAATCTATTGAGCTCTTTTTTAAATTCATAGGATCCTAATATTATTAAGATTTCTACATTTATTTTTTTGATTAAAAAATCATTCAGAATGCTTTGTGAAGATCATAATGAGTTAAAATATTTATTTTTAATACTCTTCTAGTCATATAAAAAAGTTGAGTCCTAATTATAAAATTATCATTACTTTATCATTCTATTTTAACCTATTCTAAACAAATATCAAATATAAATAGATCTCAAAGAGAGTACTTGAAGGGTTAAGATAATTTAAGGCAGAAACAACAATTCAAAATATCGTATTTTTCATTTACCAAAGAGATTTTAGAGCAATAAATTCTCATCTTAACCAATAATATCAAATTGCTCAATTATTATTTTAGATATAATAGTAATTACAAAGAAAATAGAACTCAAATATATTTGACATTCTCAAGGCATTATAATTACTAGCATTGAATACTAAGCTGCTGAATTCTAACTCGTATATAGAATTGATTATTTATAAGTAGGATTGTCAAAAAAGGCATAAGGCCAAGTTCTTCTTTCCTCTAGAAACAATCAAAATTGATTTTTATAATGAGCAGATTCAAACTTTTAAGAAATGGGCATTTGATATTCAGGGTATTTAAAGAGATATTTCAAATCTTGAATGTATTGGTATTTGTATATGAGGAGGAATTGAAGTCTCATAATATTTGTATTAATTTATAAGAATGATAACCAAATTCAGGATTAAATTCACCATGTAGTTAAGCAATGATGATCATGTAATAATCTTACCTCAAGTATGATAAAGAACTATAATGTGGGTAGAGTTTTTATTCTCATATTATCAAATTAAGATAAAGGAACCATTTTATTAAGGAAACTTATGTCCTAAAATACAAATATGATTATGTAAATTTATCATTTATTAATTAGCTAATGACATTATTGCTTATTTAATACTTTTTTGCAGTTTGATTTTTTGAATTCAAATGCTAATGTATTAATAAATAATATATAAATGTTCCAATGATTCAGATATTTTGAAACTTGAGGTTGTTGACTTTACTTTATCTCAGATTGAGATTGCTTTATTTCATTTTTATGATTGTATATTATTCATAATATTAATAATAAGAACTAGGTTTATCGGATTAATCCAAGATTATCCTGTTACTATATCATATGCTTAAATGTTTGTTGTATTAGGAATTATGTCTTTAATTCAAAACTTGATTACCATAACAATTTGTTAACAAAATAATTATCATTTGGTTTATCCATTATGATTTATCTTTTGGTATCGCCTCTAGTATAGCAGAAAAGTTTCAAGAATTAGATTTTTATTTTAGGTTTTTAAATATCATTATTTTTTCAAAGTTTTCTTTTAAAATTCATCATTAAAGATGAAATAATAGTTATTCATTTGGCAAACAATCTTAAAAATATTAGACAATTCTTTAAATGAGGATGATATATGTAAGTATATGTAACTCTAATGTGCAGTTGAATTTTAGTGTTATTTCTTGTTATTATTACTTATTATAATTACATTAATTAATTTATATTAAAAATGAATATCTTAAATCAAAAATAAGTACAGGAAGCATCAGAAACATTATGCAAGATTCATAATCAAGAATTGATTGGAGTCGATTTAGAATTATCAGATAAGGCACAAATTTAATTCTTTTGCGGTAAATGCTTAGTTTAGAAAATAAATAATAATAAAGTGACCACTATTGAGTAATCAAAAGACAGAATCTAATAATTTAAGGCATAGTAAAAAGATGTGAAATCTAAAGAGAATCAAGCAAGAATAAACTATTATAAAAGTATATTAGACCAAATTATGGATTTCAAATAATCAATTGATGAATCTTTGGAGAAGATGTATAGATATATATAATAATATATATTTCCAATTTAAAAAGAAAAATAAGAATTATTAGAATATGAATAATAATTAAATTACTTCAAAGATATAAAATAATTATCTGAATTATATTAGGAATAATAGAAATCACCTAAATTAATAGAGGATACTCATTTTATTAATGAAATTTAGAGATAATTTGAACTCTTATTCAATAGTTCTGAATACTTTTAAACAATAGATACATTTAAGAATACAAAAGAAACAATTAAAGATATTATTGAAACTAATGTAATTGAATTAATTCCTTCTTTAATTCCAAAAAATGAATCGGTATATTTATTTATTATGAATAGAAAACACCAAGCCTAAGTAGACTTTGTAGTAATCATAAAAAGGAAATTATTATGATTGATATGGACTCATAGAATAAGAAAATTGAAGATCGATTTGTATATGTTGATTGCATAGCTGAAAATCCATAAATCAAATATTAGACTATTGAAAATGTGAATAAGTAATGGAAGGAATACAATACTGAAACTGAAAGAGTATTAAAAGAGTACAAAAATGAAAGTAAAGAAAAAAAATCTGAATTATTTAATTAATTAGCATTAATGAGGAAGAATTACAATAAGAAATTGAATGAAATAACTGACAAACTTATTGCAGAATAGTTCTTATGCTTTGATAAGACTAAATAATCAAATTAAATAAAAAAAGTTTCAATTTAAGCTTTAGGCGATGAATAATTGTTGAAGGATCTAAAGTAATTAATGGAAAAGGAAAAAACTCCATAAAGTCAAATAATTACTTTAAAAAACAAAGACTCGATTTTAAAAAAAGACATTTAATATCAATCATTGCAATATATATGATTAATAAGATATTTAATAATCATTAGATATACTGAATGATATTCAAAGTATAAATTAATTTAATTTTTATAGTTGAAAGCACTTTAATTATTCAAATAACTGATATGATATAAGAAGTATAAAAATGTGCTTAAAAGGATGAAAACTATAAAAACCAAATAAATTTTATCAAAGAAATTTAAGAATTGATCGATTAAGCTAAAAAATATCAGAATCAATTAAACATATTTGATTAGACTATTGAAGTTTATTAATAACATGTTTAAAAGATAGAATACATTCTATAAATATATAGCTTAAATAATAAGATTAAGCAGTTAAATCAGAATCGGTAAAATCCTAGTATTCTAAATTACAGAATATTTTGAATGAATATGCAAAATCATTAGATAATAATAGCATATAATTGAAAAAATATTTCACAATAAAATAATTGGAGAATGATATATTAAAATTAACAGAAATTAATAAACACTTAGAAATTGAAAGTAATATTATAATCATTGTGAATAGTAAATAATCTAACTAATTCAATGGATAAGTAAAAACTCAATTAGATTAATGAAAAATTAGAATTAAAAGATAAAGAATATTAGAAAATCAAAGAATAATTTGATCAAATAACTTAAGAAAATATAACTTTGAAAAATCAATATGAATAGGATAAGAAACTAATGATTGAAAAATAAGATGATGAATGTATTTAATACTCGTATTATTTATAGAAAAGAAACTAAGATACGATTTTATTCAATAAATAAGTTAAAAAGATTCAGAACTACAAGAAGCATTTAGGAAACTTGATCAAATTAATAAAAATACATTAGAATAAGAGAAAATAAAGAAAATGGAAGTAGAAAAAGTAATTTTTATTGGATTCATTTTTTTATTTTTAGATTCAAAAGTTTAATAAAGCATTAACTTTTTCAAATACTTATAAACATACTAATTGTTAAGTAACTGAAGAAGCCAAGCTTGTTGCTGAAATTGAAGATGAACGTTATTGTTTTTGTCTTTGTGAATAAGCAATTCCAAAAACAGGGAAAATACAATTTACATTCTAAATACTTAGTGGATCTGAGTTTTTTGTTGGAATAGGATTTAGAGATATAATGTAACAAAACCATTATTATGATTGTTATAGTGGTGGGTATGGGTATATAAATAAATCATACTAGAACATATTTAATAAGTGAGGATGGTTAATCTTACTCTCATGATAATGAAGATGTACATAATAAATAATTATCATTTAAATTTACAAATAGTGATATAATAATAATCGAAGTAAGTATTAAAGATAAATATATTAAATGGAGTAAATAGAATAATCCACAAGAAACATTTGCTGTAAATATGAAAATGATTATTAGTAATTGGGAATAGATAAAAATATTAAATTGAAAAAGAATAATATTAAATAATTTTATACATTATCGAATATTGTTTTCATTTATTCAATTAAAAAAAGATGTAAAAGTTATGTTAATTCTGAAAAAAAACATTGAAATCTCGTCATAGATTTTAATTTTGATTCTATATTTTATAGTTGAATTATTTGTATGGATTTAGGATAAGTTCCATCCAAAATATTATTGAATATAATTTAGTCTCCATATTATAAAAATGCTCATCCAAAGAATGCTTTTTAAATTTTATTTGAAGCTGATTTATATAATTTTAGGTTAAGTAACCAAATATATAAGTTGAAAGAAACTCTTCAAGTCAGCTATGCATATTCTCTATTATTTGGAAAGGCGTTAATAACTTTTTTTTATCACTTAATTAGTACTCTATAAAAGGATTTTATATCAGTCGATT